CCCCCCCCCCCCCCCCCCCCCCCACCCCCCCCCCCCAAAAACCCCCCCCCTTCCCCCCCCCCCCCCCCCATTCTGGCTATTGCTTGGAATCCCAAGAGGGGCCTTCCTGCTGGACCATTCAGTCAGGTATTTAATTATGTTATTATTCATATTCCGCTGTATAATGGATAAAATTTAAATAAACTCTGGTTACAAATGGTTCCTCATATTTACATTTACATTACATAGTCATTTGATTACTCTCTCAATTAGATGTGTCCCTCCATCCCATATTCAGCATTCGGACATCACTGCAACCAAACACAACCCACCCCCCCCGCCTGAGGCACCAGCAGAGTGAAGCTGTCCAATCCACTCCTCTACTCTCCTCTAAATACCTGATTGATTCATTTTTTCAGCACATTTGACAGCTAACGGACTGCATTCTGCACCTCCCCGGCCACCGAGCGGGTCTGGGACATCCTCGTACAGTCCCACACCGATTGTACCGCAGGCGTCCACACTCAGAACACAACCATAGTGCAAACACTCTGCCGCCGTCTGAGTAGCCGGGACAAAAACGCATCACTTCCTGTTCCTTGCGGCCTAAAGTCAGAAGAGGTGAAATGAGCTCTTCTATTCGCTGCTGTGACCGATCACCTGACCTGAGCCTATAGACGCCACAGCTGATGAAGGCCAGCTGACCCTGATTGGACTGATCACTTTATCAGGGTTTAACTGGGCCAGATGGGCAGATTCACCACGATTAGTCTGCCTGAGATGTGCTGCCAGACACAGAGCTGTGTGTGCATGCATGCTTTGGCAAAAACGTCGTGTTAAGATAGTTGATTTCCGCTTAATTTTGTCTTGCTTATATAGGCTGCCCAATACCCCCCCCCCCCCCCCCCCACAAGACCATTGTCACACTCGTGTGTTTGCAACGACATGACACAGCTACATAAACCCTTAAAACAAAGACGGAAATGTCAGATATGTAATCTAAAAAGACAAAACGTGTATATTTAATTACAGAAGTAAAAAGGTCAAACAATTCCATTTCATGGCCCATCTGTGCGACTGAAAACCTCGTTTCAGAGTTAATGTATCAAAACTGTTGCCTCTGAACTCCTTATCTACTTACACCAGTGTCCGCTTCATCGGCAAACGCCTCTGGGAAGGCGGAACAAAGAAATCTGGCGAGTGCATGAGGCCGCTCATGTACACCTTGTCATTCCTTTTCTTTGGGAGTTATTAAAAATCTGTGCACCAGTTGGGGTGCAATAATGTGCCGGGGATTGGGAAAAAGAGGAACGAAAAAAACAAAACATTTTTAACCTTTTAACCTTTATTGGATCATGCAGTCATGTTCAAAGCAATACACCTGCTAAACTATTAGAAAATTAGGTCAATTTATTTTTCATATGAATGTTGTTATTATTGATTTCACATTTTTACCAGGAGCTGAATATATTTATTGGTTAAGCATGTGGTTCACAATTGTCACAGCTGGGAATATAACTGCCAGTTTTCAGAAGACAAATCTCCTTAATCGCCACGACACCTGCTGTCCCAGTCATGTATGACACCGACCAGTTTAGTTCCCTGGCAGAGAGTCTATATTTTTATTTAGCAGGTGTAATTCCAGTTTAAGCTTTTTTTTTGCTTATTAATGATTGATGGCATCCGGATTGAAACGGAAACGATAGAAAAACGAGGATAAACAGATACATTTCATACATCCCGCAAGGTCCTGTCTCAGTCATAGTGCCTCAGACATGAGCTGTTCCTGCAGCTGGCCTCTACCAGTTAGAGTGCTGGGCAGCCATGTTCATTCTGGGCATAAACTTCTGCCCAAACCGTATTTATTTTTGAATTCGGTCATCTGACTCCAAGTGGCGCGCTTTAAAAATGGCTTAGCCTGCAGTTTGTCGTTGACCTACTAAAACAAACATCCGGCAGGGGACTAAAATAGCCAGGTGCTCAGACTCGCCGTTCACAGCAGAAGAGACGGCACCGCCTGGGTGCGTCGGATCCACGTTCGCCGACTAACATGAGGACCTCCGTGACGGGGGGGGGGGGATCTCTCCTCCTCGAGATCTGTTAGTTGGCCAGCATACAGCCGCCGTTCCAGCCAATGGCCTTTAGTGAATGAAGCTGGCTGAGGGATTGATGTCATTATTTAGCTAGGGCCTCGCATAGGAGCCTTTCTAATCTGCTGTAATGTACCCGATGCGGAAGCGACTGGGCTCACGCTGGAGATCGAATTATTAAAACCCTCAGTCAAGAAGGCATTTAATTAATCTAATGCTGCTTAGCCTATTGGATGTGGTCCTAGACATTAACAATGTACACTAACTGTTTTAAATAAGTTCCTCTCGGAAGGGTGACATACCGAATACAGTGCGCCAGGTTTGATTGGCTGTCAGGCCGCCCCACCCCTTGATTGGCTGTCAGGCCGCCCCACCCCTTCTCAGATTTTCTCAGTTTACCCACCTTACACTGAAAATAATACATTGGACACTGAAGCTGTAAATCATGCATACTACCCAAGTTTGCGAAGAGGGCTTACCTTATCCGCCATGATCATGGACGAGCCACCGTGGATCCCGAGAATGGGTATCAACGTTTGGGATGAAATAAAATCCAAAATCTGCGCGATGGCTTCCTGGTCGGTGCCATCCCCGAACACCACCCCGTGGATCTTGGTGCCAGACATGAGGTCGCACATGTGTGTGATGATGCTCTTGGGGTCCGTCTCGTTCACCAGCAGAGTCACCACGTTGACGTCGATGGGGTCGTCCTTGCTCCACAGCGCCCGGATGTCACGGTCGGAGATGTAGCGTGTTCGTCCCAGGATCACAGCGATGTTTAGGATGGGGACCTTCTCCGCACCGGACGTCAGGCCCAGAAGGGTCAGGAGCACCCCCAGCACCAAAAACGGGGGTCTGTAATTCCTCATAGTGCTCAACTTCATTCCCTGTGGACACCACGGCACAGAGGGAGAGCATGTCACTCACAGAACCACACCGCAGAGTAAAAAAAGGCCAGCCTACTCCCCCACAAACACCCCCCCATCACGTACACCCAATGTCGACGTCACGGTGAGACCCCAACCATTTGTCATCCACCCCATGTGAACAAAAGGGCTCAATAGCTTCGGTGCCGTGGTGACGAACGGTGAAAAAATCCAAGCGATTAGCGAAATCCAGCTGAAAAGGCGTGAAAATGGTACATTAAGTAATAAGGACTGCAGAAATCGGCCCTCCTGCGCAGCGAGCCCGTGGATCCACGTAAACATAACAATTTTCCACTCACATTAAAACTTATTTTCATCTGGCTCAAGCTGTTTAGTCTTGCAAATATATTTATGAAAATCAGCCAAGGAGAATTGGCCATTCATCATAGCTTGCACGGCACACTCCTCCAAACATAAGCTGAATTTGCCCTAAATTTGTTGCTTGCTTTATTCTTTAATGTCCTGCATATACAGTTGAATACAAATATCTTAGTTAACAGTGGAATGAAATTAGGGGCGCCATACAGGGCGTTTTTCATTAGACGTATGAAGACGGCTTGATGGAAAATGCCGATCATATAGCCGGGGGAAGCCGGTCAAAAAGAGTGCACGTTTGCCTCCAATAGATTTAAAAAAAAATACCTACCATCACTAAACTTAAGGTTAACGCTAAAGATGTTAATAAGGCTCTATGCTGTGAAATGCCGTATAAGCCAACCGCAAACACCACATTTTAAAGCAAGAGGCATTCTAAAATGAGAGAAAATAATAAATAAATAATGTACATAATTCAAATTCTTATTATTTTTCCTTTAGGCCAGTAAGAAACAGTATGCATGTATCCAGATGTGTGTTTATGTCATGTTTGGTTCATAAAAGCCAAGTGTTTTCGGTCAGAGGGATTGCGGAGTTAGGCGAAAAATATGCCCTCCTTTCTGAGAAGGGACTGCAGTTACCCTACAGTTGCTGTATAGCTGTAAAACAGGCTGCCGCCGTCAGCATACAGCCGCAGGACGGCTTGGGCACTCCGTCCCTCACGTATGCGACATGCATTATTGCCTAATTCTGGCCGCTTGCCGCCTTGATTTTGCGAGCAATTTACACGCCCGGGCTTCGCACGGCTACTGCAGACGCGTTTTTAAAGCAACAACGCACCTTTGCGGGTTGGGGGGGGTAGTGTCGAGACTCGGTGTATCCGTATGATCCTCACGAACAGGGTCTCATACATAAAACCACCGGACGCCTCATTGTAAAACTGCAAGCGATCGTCGGCAAGTGATAAATAAAACTAGATGGGACGGCAATTGATTCAACAGATGCTTCGCTTACGTGTTTGAAAATGACTTTTTATAGGCTACATCTGCAACATTTTTCTTTGGTTTCCTATTGGAGAATTCGTGCATCTAGAAAAATCACAGCGCTTTATCTAAAGCAGAGTTTTCTGCCGCTTTAAAGCAAGTCATCTGGGTTATTCTGTTTGACAAATATCGAATATCGGTATAGCTGATATTTGATATTTGTCGTTCCAATAAGTACTGATGTAACTGTTTGTGTGGCTTTTGCAGTTTTGCACTTAACTATTTACAAGTAGCCCACTGCGCTCTTTCAGTACACACGCGTGTACAAGGCGATTTAAAAATGTCACAACATACGTTTAGTACACTAATCAATGCTCTCAGTCATTACATTTTTCACTGGGGGTTAAAGGATGCCTGCTTTTGTACACAAAAAAACAAGACAAGAAAACATTTATCATCTTATGCTACGGATGCTGTCCTTCTTGAGAGAAAAAAACTCTATAACGAAATAACTCCCGTTATATTTAGCATAGCCTACGTTTTAAAAAAAAAAATGTGACTGCATTATTGGCATTAAAGTATAAATTTAGATGTAAATTCATTTTGATATCTCATTAACTTTCAGAAAGCGACTATTATACAAGAGCGACCCCTAACGGTTCAGTTTAGGCTATCGTCCAGTTTTCCTTTTCTGGCATTAATAGTTCCTGTAATTTTAGGACATACCTTCAATGTCACAAATCGTAGATGCAGATTTGCATGGTGGAAAGCCTGGGTATGTCGTCATTCCTGGTACAACGTGCTATGTTTCTCCGCCATGTAATTCAGAGTTCCGCTTGCCATCAACAACCATTAAGGAAAGTGTGCAAAGTTCATCAAAAAACTGCCAAAAATCCATAATTAATTGTAATTTAAAAGTCTCTCTTTGGAAACCCATCGTTCTGATTTAAACGTTCATTTAATTGACAAAGAACTGCACAGCTGGGGGTTTTAAATCTACTGCACCTGCAATGACAAGCAGCTCATGGGGTACAGTAACAGTATGTCGCCTCAAAGGTTTGGCGATAGTCGAGTTTTTCATACACCTAAAAGACGCGACTGATACCCACACCAGAATATCACACTTATTACTGCCAGTAATAACAAATATTGCAAATAATATGGACTGAGTCCTTGTTGGATTTCTGTCCTGGGGGGAGACACAGGAATGCAGCAGTCCCCTGACGAGGATCTTAGCCTTTAAAATGTGCCCCGTATTCCCACCGTAAAGGGATTTCCACTAACAGCACTACGCGAAGAAACTGATAATTAGTCATGTTGAGGGGAAAAGAATAATCCATCACCGGGGGGGAAAAATCACCGTATTCTAAAACGTAGATAACGCGGAAAAAAAGATGTGTTTGTGCGTCTTGGATGCAAGGCAGTAGTTCGGTGAGCATGCAGGTGAAAAGCAATGGTGTTACTATCTTTGGGGTAAAACGAGCAGCTCGAAATACAGAAACACAAAAAAACGCATACTTACTGCATCTCTCTTTCACACAGCTCCAAGACAGTAGTCTGCGATGACATTGCAACAGAGTCTTCTTTGCAACAACCCTGTGTTAAATATGGATAATTATTTCCATCGAAAGAATCCTCTAACTTGAACCCAAAACCATAGAATTACATAAATCCCATCGTCTTCGGCTTTAGGTTATTCTCCGCGGTTTCGTCTCGGCCCTGCATTGTCCAGGCGAAGACTCTAGCACCAACTGGATCCGCTCAATGTGTGTAATATGTAATTCTGCAGCAGGACTACACGGAGCCAGGCAGCGCGCTCCACTCTGCGTCCCTCCGAGCTTCTTGGGAACTGAGGGGTTCCGTCAGCAACACATCCTTAAGGTGAACATGAGAATTACACCCAGTTTCAAAGCGGGGCACCTTCTGAACAATGCGAGCAATGCAGCAAAACTTCAGCCATGGGAACTTAACGGCACTGACATATTGTCAGGGTAATAAACTCAAAGTCGCTCTGACACTTCTTTCCGGAGAACGTCTCTGTTGGAGTAGAAAGGTCAATTGACGCTGTAGGCGCATTGAAAATCAATACAGTTGTAGATGGTATTTACATCATGCAATATGGAGAAAGGGGGATTAATAGGCTCTTATACGTCAGGTCTGTTTTGAAATCAGAAGTGGTTCGGCGTAATGTCCTGGCTTCTGTCCGTCCGTGGCACATCCTGATCCTTCACGAAGAAGGAGTTGCCTCTCCGTGACGTATTATGATTTGGATTTTCTCGCGCCGCGCCAAATCCCTTTCTGCACGTTTCGGTTGTGCACGTTTCAGCTCTATGGATATCCGTCGAGTGTTTTTGCGTCGTCACGATAGATGCACCGGGCACCTCAACACACAAATACTGTATATCCGCAATACTTTGTTGCATCCATTATACTCCGTGCACCTGGAAATTCAAAGATTTTCAAATACGTTAGATGTTCATCAGTCCTTTGTACCTGTCTCCGGTCATCTTTGCACATATATTTGGTATTATTCATTATGATGTATTTTTTTAACCTAAAAATCTACTCAGAGAATGCACATGAAAACCAACGTAACGGTTTGAATAACGCATACTGTATGTCAGGGAATAGACATGTGGGCATCGACTTCATCAGAGAGCCTGCTATAAAAATGCGACATTGCCGAACGTTTTAGAAGCACTCAGCAAGCAGTGTGTTAAAGAAAAGAAAGCAGCCTAAAGGTTGCCGCATTGTTATCAATTTAAGACGACGCGCTGGTCAGCGCGCTTTCGCTGTCTTTTCAGCACCGCTCATTGAAAAAGGCAAAAGCTGCAAGATCCAAATTCAAGTCCGTCGCCTGCAACAGCAGACAAACGAATAACACAATTTGAATCTGAACTTGTATTCGCTATGCGCTTGTTGAAACTGTACAGAAATTAATTGCAATCTGTACGTCTGTAGACGCATACGTAAACATTATAGGCTCTTTTTTTACTTGTCTTTTGAGCACTTATGTTTGACGTATTGATCGAAGAGTTTATTTAGACACATGACGGGATGTATTTGATACGTAGTTACGACCCAGATTTCCTGATACGTCTGCCAGCATTGCAGGCTATTGGGTGGCCAGTTCCCTCACCACCCCCCATATGCTACTACCCAGCACCCCAATGCCCGCTCATTAGTGATGCTGAATCCAGTTTGATCATTGGCCTGTTGCAGCATTTTTGGCCAAAGGATGTTCCGTTTCATGCAGCTGGGTCACTGACTGGAACAATTGCTCTGAGCTGTTACAGTGGCTTTACTGGCACTTAAACTAACGACCTTTGGGTTACAAGCAAATGTCCTTAACCGCTATGCTGCTTACTGCACCGGTGACGAGGCCATTTCCTGAATATGAAACTTCTCCATGGTGGCGTAATGGTTAACCTCCCAGGCTTCTCAGTTAAAGGCTATTGGTTCAAATCCTGTGAGGTAATGCACTGTTATGCTCCTTAGGAAGGTAAATGAACCTCAGAGTACTTCAGGATAATACCCAGTGGCATGTAGAGGTGGTATAAACATGCTTTGGACATTGCTTTCAGTGAGAAACATTCTTACATAGTTACACATACCTCTGTCATACATATATCGGTCCATTTGGCAAGGGTAGTTACTCAGAATTTATTTTTACGCAGTTGGTATGGTGCAAAATTATGTTAGTGATGGGAAAAGATTGTACTTTATTACTGTTTAAGAGACTTGAGTGACCTTGGAAATTCAGACCAACAATAGCTTTTCGTTTTTTTATTTTTATTTTTTTATTTGTATGCTTAGACACTGTAAGACTATTTTTGTGGCTAAAGTATATGTATAGGGTAGTTATAATTGAGAAATCTTTTACCCTTCTGGGAGATCAGCCAGAATTGCCCTGAGAAATGAAAAGATTTCTCTTGATTTTTTTTTTTCTTCTTTAAGAGGTATCAGATGTTATACACGTGTTTGAAGAACAACCTGCTCATTTCATCTGGGTAATCATGTAAAAATCCGTGAGTGAGGGTTCTGTTGCTCTACTGGTGTTACATCCTGCCCAGCATGTCTGCCCGACCCTCCTGTGGCCTCCCTAACATGGCCCTAATGAGCCACGCCTGTTGCTTGTTACCCCTTGTTGTATTAATGCACCTGTTTGTTGTGTCATCCCCAGTCCAGTTATTGATATTGTTCCTCCTGTCTGTCCTTCCCCATACTACCCTACTTGTTTTGACCCCTCGCGGCCTCGTTTGTTTCCCTGCTTCCATTCAGTTAAATAAAACCCCTTTTCTGTTTGCCAACTGACTGCCTTCAAGTCATGACAGCTGGAAAAATAAATTGCTGAATCAAGCTATGAACGTGTGTTTATCTCTGCTGTTCACTGCTAAACATTGTTTTCTTATCTCTAAAATAAATCTTTCCTGGTAACAAATATCCATAGAGCAATGTGTGTTGGGAATGACTCTGTTACAGTGGGGCATAACAATAGGAGGGACAATCCACATAGCAACTCAACAAGAGGGTTTTTTTTTAACAAACAGAACACAAATGGAGAACCAGAAAGGAACCACAGGGGATCAAAACAAGACAGGTAAAACATGAACTAACTAAAACTAATCACAAGGGGAACTAACACTAATAGTAGATAGACATGTGGGAACGCAACAAAGGGCAAATGGGCACAGTGACTGACACAATGAGGGCAAGCACTAAAATTTACAGAGATAACAAGGACTAACAACATGCAGGTGTGGACTATTCCAAACTAGGGGCAACAAAGACCAGGTGGGGTCATTTGACAGAGGAGCAAACACCAAGGGAGACTAGAAAACAAGGGTAAATAAACATTACTAATAACAGGGAACAATTATGAACTATGATATAACACAAATACACAGATTAAGAATATAAGGAAACAGTCAAAAAAACAAATATAGTTGAGGCTGGTCTCAGGCCAGCCTTGAACCCACAGCAAAGGGGAAGTCAGAGTGAAAGCCACCTGCTTAGCCCATTAAGCTACATGGTGGCCAATGGAACAGAGAGACACTAGAAGTTAACAACCTGGGATATAACGGGAGACAGGATGACCAGCAACGCCCCCTGGCCAAACAGGGGAATGAGATTTGGACCAGGGCAGGACAGGAACCAATAGTACACCTACCAAATGTGTGAACACCGGGCATGCAAGGGCACTGCCAGGACCACAGAGAGGGAAAAACAGGACCAACAATAGTACAAGACTAGACATCGGGACCCAGGAGACCAAGGAACTGGAAAGACTGGAGCAGGGCATAACAAAGGGGACCCAAGACCAACGGGTGCAACATGAAGAGCTGGGTAAGGTCCACCAGATTAGGGAATACTACAGGGAACTGGATACCAGGATTGCGACCACATGGGGGACAGACAGGAGACCACTCAACAGGTACACAACTGGGGGACTGAAAAAGAGAAACAAGACTGATATGGGGAAGCACAGGACTGAGGCATGAAAGGGACCTGATGGGACAGGAAGGGAGCAAACACAGGGGTTACGAAACTGTGGAGATGAAGGACCAAATGGATGACTATGGAACACTGGGGGGTTTATCAGACTGGGGTCAAGATACAGAATGATGGGCAGAGGGGACCGCCACAGGCTTGAATGAGAAATACATGGGTGGACTAAGCGGTAGCATGGCAGGAGTTGGCACGGACGGGACAGGAACAGTTAGAGACAATACAGAGCAAACAGGTATGGGGGTTACAGGCCTCAGGGGGAATCAGTGGAGGGCCTGTGGGTGCTGGGATGGTCACTGGCAGTGGCTCTGGGGGTCGCCAATGGCATCTATGTCCCCAGAGACGCCACTGGGATATGGAAAAGCAGTGCCTGTTGCCAGGCATCCACGAACGCTGAACAAGCTCTGGCGGAGCAGGTTCAGAGGGGAAGATGGTCTCTGGAGGCATTGCAGAGGCAAAGACAGGTTCTGGGGGTGCTGCAGAGGTAAAGACAGGACAAGTGGCAGCCCCTTCTGGGCCGGACTTGGGATGCTTGGGGCGAGCAGCAGCCTCCCCTGGGCAGGGATCTGGTGGTTCGGGACAAGTGGCGGCCCCTTCTGGGCTGGGCTCTAGAGGCTCAGGTAGAGTGGACCCCAAGGGAATGGACTCTGGAGGCTCGGGATGAGTGGTGGCCCCATTTGGGCCGGACACTGGAGACTTGGAATGAGCAGCAGCCCATCTGGGCTGGGCTGAGGAGGCTCAGAACAAGCAGCAGCCTCCCTTGGGCAGGGATCTGGAGGTTTGGGATGGCCAGCAGCCTTCGTTCTGCAGGATCTAGAGGCATGGGCAGGGGTGGTGGCCCCATATGGGACAGGTTTAGAAAACTTGGCCAGTTCCCTAAGGTGCAGGAGGACTCTCTTAAGCCTATGCACCTCCCTGAGAGACAATACAGGAGGCAGCTGCAGGAGTTGCCTTCCTGCTTCAGGAAGATTCAACAAAATCAGGGAAATGGGAGTAGTTGGGTGGTGTAACAGGCTTTTCCATGACTCTTGAAGAGCACATAGGTCACTCACCCAGACACTGGGAGTGGTTCTTTCTGCTAAGTTGAGGACTGGAGAGGGGCTGAGGGATATAGATCCCAACTTGATCAAGCATCACATTGATCGTCATTTTGAGTTAGTCATTCTGTTATGGCGGAGCATCATGAAGAAGGGATGATCCACGTACCGACTCTCAACAAATAGGGTTTATTAACAAACAGAACACAAATGGAGAACCAGAAAGTAAAGGAAACACAAGGGGTCAAAACAAGACAGGTAAAACATGAACTAACACTAAGACTAGGAAGACATGTGGGAACCAAGGAAGGAGAAAGCAGTAATGACACAGGATCTAAAACACGGTAACAACTGCAAGGTAACAACTGCAAGGCAACAACTGAACACTGCAACACAGGGCAAACAGTCACAATGACCAACTAAGGAACAAAATGAGGGCAGGCAGTTAAATACACACTACACACAGACAACAACGGCTAACAAGGGACAGGTGTGGATTATTACAAACTAGGGGCAACAAAGAATAGGAGAGGTCGAGAGGTCAATAAACAGATGTTCAACACCAAAGGAGACTAGAAAACAAGGGTAAATAAACATTACTAAAAACAGAGAACAACAATGAACCATAACACACATACATAGATGAAAAATATAAAGAAACAAACAGTCAAAAATAGAAACATAGTAGAGACT